TTTTTAAGTGGGAGAACTTGCACAATTGGTGGCTGACTAAATACTTTTTTGCCCCACTGTACAGCAATTCTACGTGGAAGGAATCACACAGTAAAACAGCATTGCATTTTTATAGAGCACAATGAAAAGTGGAAAACCCTATTTCAACATATACAATTATGCTTCCTAAATGTACTGTCAACAGACTTAGTGGCTATTTTCCACTGTTCACATTAAACAAAAACATGAGGCTTTTTGTTACAATTATACACAGTCATTGTTGCACATGTAGAAGGAATGTGTTAAGAAGGACAAAAATGGCAAAAGTTAGCTTATAAAGAACTTCACATACTTTAAAGTTTAACTAGTAATCAAATGATGAATACATCCTGACAGTTTAATACATCTAAAATGTACAAGAAATTGAGCTCAGAAAAAAAATGGAACCTACCAGATGTTTGATGCAATTATGCCAAGCATACTACAAGTTTATGATAATTCCATTTTAGATTTAACAAATCTAGTACAATAGGCCCAACTTCCTACCATACAGGAAATTTAATTATATATCATTAGAAATAGGTGTTTTCTGACATTGTAGATTTGTAATTTGGGCAACTGAAAGGATGTGAACTGTATAAAATTTCAGATAGCACAATTTTACTTGAAAATGAAGCCAATGCAGCTATCTGTTCTAACACTAAACATCATTCTGTATATAATTCTGCATTAGTTCTCAGTGAACGTTTAACTGGAATTGGAAAAAAAACACTATTCTTAAATGATTTACTACATGTAATTGTGTGCGGATTAAAAATGTAAATAGTTGTTATTGGGAAGCAAGAAGGAGATTTAACATTTTCCTTTCATGCTACAGTCCTGTTGAAAATGCTGCTCTGAATCTGTGTTCCCCATTGACAGGAAATTTGATTGGATAATTTGGTTACAAATGTGTTTATCACTGAAAGCAAGAAAAGTGCAACCTTTATTTTGAGGCTTCCCATTAATCTTCATTAAGAATTGTTATCAACATTATGTAAAAAATACCAAGTGATACCATATACCATTTGGTATATGTTCAATCTTCCATAAATCTAAACACCTTTCTACATTGGCAAGAACAAATTGTTCTTTACTGTATTCTACAGCAAGAATATTCAATAATCACAATAGAATATTTATAGAAGTTTTACCCGTTTTAACCTATACATATAGGACAGCAAGAGCATAATCAAGTATGGAAGCTAGTTAACTTTTTCCTAAGCTTGAAGTTTCCATTGAATCTTCATATAAACAAAGAGGTAGTTTTGGGCGCATAATCACACTATGTTACAAGGTGGAATTGGCAATTCCCCAAACACTGTTAGTGCTATGGCAGCAAAAGAATACCAGATGTGAGGTTTTATATAGGGAAGGGTTCCCTTGACATTAAAACTGCCTTAGAGGACAGCTTTATAGTGTCAGCTTATATGTATGCTTGTGAAATGCACATTCTGTGAACATGAATGCTATTCACAATAAATGCAATGAACAGCTTGCAATATGTGAGGGATTCTCACTTTGCCAATCTTTATTTTCATGCTGGAATGCTAAAGGCAATAGTTAATGAGAAAGTCTGAGCAGAGAACTATTATATAATACCATCAAGAGTTAACTATATCCAATCAATGTTTCATATGCCACATGCATACATAACCAGCATATTAAAAGGAAGATCTCTTCAGCTGGTATGCCATTAAAGGGTTTTGTGTTTTGTATAAGGTGTTTCAAAACAAGAACAAATGTCATTGACTACTTTTGGAGCTGAGGTCAAAATCTGAATTATGGACACATAAGCTAGGAAGACCACACTTCTGCAGTATTGTTTGAGGCGGTAAATAAATTTTGGAAAGTGTGCATGCAGTAGACCTCTTTCCTAATTTAAAAAAAAACAAAACTTTGTTAACACTAGAGGGCCAGACTGTTTCAGCAAGGACAGATGAAAAGGGAATTTTTTTTTACAGCAGCACAAGCATCAGGATGTTAAATGAGTTGCTTTTCTGATTACATGACTAACACACATTGCTTCTGTCAGAATATCATTTGTAACCTGACCAAGTTTGAAGTAGATATTTTAAACTGTTAGCAATTTCTTTTCCTTGCACTTTTTACAACTATGATCAATATTTACAAACTACACTTCAAATTTCAGCTGTTTGTGATATTAATAAAACAATTGCTTTACCAGATGTATTTCATCCAATAATTTAGTTTATATGCTCTCTCCCCTCCCATATCTGCAGTTATTGCATAATTCCATAATAAATAAAAGTCCTATAATTTGCTAGTAAACTGAATACGGGTGCATCATAGTCTTCTCCAAGGTAGGTACACAAAAGGAGTGGTCATCTGAGCAGTTTTAAATGTGCTATTTTGTATTATTAAAGACATGCAGTATCTTGAACAGATCAAAACAAAAAACCAAAGTTCACAAAAGGAACACTTTGTCTTTTTAGTTCTATTAAAAATAAGAATAAATCTCAAGATACAATGTCATTTAAACAGTGCAACACTCCTAAAAACTCTTGCCTTCATAATGGATAAAGGTACCGAGGCGGCATAAGCAGCAGAGGGAAAGGAGAAAACTTAATGCTGCATGTGTGCAGTTGGCAGAATGTAAATGCACAAAGACACACTGAGTAATAGTTACAGGCAGATATCATAGTTTACCTATTACAACAGGTCCAATATGTCAGCTTTTCAGTGCTGAAACAGAAGCCATATTAATGAGTATATAAAGTTGACATGGAAGTCTTTTTTGCACCAATCAAGAGACCATTTTTATTAATTGGATTTTTGTCACACACCATGAATAGTTACATAGTGAAAAAAGCCAAACATTGCTGGAAGCAATTGACAAAGATCAACTGATATTTCTGTACCCTCTCTTAAAACGCTTAGCTTTCCTCCATTCAGTTCTGCTTAATTTAACTGCTACTTGCAAAATTAATTCTGTGTCAAGATTGTCACATCTTAAATACAGATAAATTGCTAGAGGTACATTATATATTCATACAGAAAAATACAAGACTAGTTGCTTTCCACAATATTTATATGCTACAGTAACTATAAGCAACTTGTAAAGACAAATTTAAGGGGTACAGGAAACTGTTACTTGTTCTATAATAGTTTGGTCCAATATATTTTAATGTAGTGGTTATTCTCTCCCTCCTTTAACAGAACATAATACAACATACAATACATGCACAGTCATTCACCTGTGAACAAATGAATAAAAGACAACATTCAAGCTAACATCTGTACACCCAAGTAGTTCACCCAACCATACACAACTAAAGGCTATTTTACAGCTATGCAGCATAATGGTCAACACCGCCGATCTAAAGTGAGCACCATATATATATTTATACATATACATATATACACAATTGTATATAAAAACAGAAGAAACAAAAACTCCTGGGGTTGGTCAAAAAGGTGCCATTCCAAGGCTGTACATAATGTGTGATAAGAATATTTACAGCAACTTGAAAATAAAAACTGCAACAAAGTTTATTGCCAATGCCCTTTATAAATGTTCTCCTACTTTTTATATAGATGCCCTACTCACTGATATCTATGAACTGTTCATATTTCTGGCCCTTTGTAAGATCCCTGCTCAAGAAAATTTCAAGCAAATATGTTCTATGGCTTCACCCATACATCAGTTCTTTCAGCTTTGTGCATGTGTATACACACACAATCATACACAGAGTACTTATCTCATACTGGTAAAGCATCATAAGCAGTTTTAAACTAAATTGCAACAAGAGTTTGAAAAACAAATGTGAAATATTTCATGTATGCCTTGCTACACTTGGGAAATGGAAAGTTATAAACCCTGAACTAGGCTAGATAATAAAATACACTGCATGATTTAGAATTATAGGCGAATCCATATTTACTTGGAAATAAGCCATAATGAACTCAAGTGGCTTCTTGGTAAAAATGCTTTAGACTGTACCTTCAGACAGATTCACCATGCTAAAAAAAAGGGAAGCATAAAATCATAATCCAATGTAACAATTCTTTGGTGCTCTACAAGCTATAATGTAAATGAAATGCATTTTACTTGACCATTTTGCTAGCATTACAATACTACTGAACTATGTAAACTCTCTCAGACAATAACTGTCTGGGTTGCTGCTACATAATACCATCAGTTCTTACCAGCATTGCTTTGAAGACCCAGTGCACAGAGCTTGAAAAAATAAAATTCTTGTTTTTCCCCAAATTGGGAATACGCAATATATTTTACTCTAGATACATGTTCAGAAAAGTTAATTCATCTGGTCAGAAGTATTATTTTAACAGAAAAAGTGCCAACACATTCATTTGTTGGCATTTCAGTAGCAAGGGGTTTAAAAAAAAAAAAAGGCAAATACAGTCAAGAATGAAAGAGAATTGCTCCATGCCAACTTGCGTTGACTTGATTTGGAGAAAGAATTATTAAAGCAAATTAAATGTCACATCCCAAACTAAATGTCCAATTAAAATAATTTGTTTTCCAGTAATATATTCCATGGCGCATTTTGAGATCCATGGAGTAGACTTAGAATATACCATATTAAAGTACTCCAGATAGGCTCTCTGATAATCTGAACAGACTCTTCTTTTATTCAAATTCCAGCAACTGCTTCTACTCTCCTTTACTAGAAATGTCTGGCTGAAATGACTGTATGCATTTAGGTATTTTGAAGCACTTTTGATATACTTAACTCTATACAAAAGTGACAATTACCTATCTTGCCTCATTTATCTGCATGCTCAAAGTACTTTATTACATCCTTAAAGTAATCAGCACTCTGTGAAGCTTCCATTAATATTGTAAATATTAAAGGGCACAGTGGAAAGTAGATTTGGAAGAAACAAACTTTGTTTTTTTCAATATCATTATCAACAGTTACTGTATATGAATTGATTTATTGGAATAGATCTTGGCTACCACAAATTGGTCCATTTTAACTATCTTGCACAATACTTTACAACTGATTATATATACCAGTAATGAATGCTTTCCCTTGCATGGGGAAAAACCCTCTTAAACAAATTACAGTGTTCCTTTGTTAGATATTTTTTTTAAAAAAAGATTGTCTGCATTTAATAATGGGGAAAGCTGCCTTAGATTTTTTTTTAAAAAAAAATCTTGTCTATATCAAATCAAGATCTTCATTTCAGCCACCACTCATGCATATTATTTAAGACAAAGATGTGGGATTAAAAATCAAGAGTTCAAGATAACTTTTCAGTGCACTTTTGCTTTGTACAAGCCTTGAAATTCTGAAAGCTCCAGAAGAGATTTCAGTATCAAAATATTATTGCTTTGGTTCTGTTGCAAACACAGAGAATTATGCCACATCTCACATATTTTAAGTAACACAGAAGATCCGAACAAGATTTGACGTCTTACAAAGAAACAAAAGCTCTGTTTCTAATTTAAGTGCAGAATGTGAAACTACCAAGTGCTTAATTTATACTGGATTTGGACACAAGCCTTACTGTAATCCAGATTTTCTATAGTAAAATTATAAAGGTAAAAAGTTACATAAATCCTGGTTTGTTTGGAACAAAAGAAATTACTGGCTAGCAGCATGCACAGTATCATGCATTGTCATAACAAGCAAAACTAAATTAAAATGTAATAAATTACTGCTTAAAGCCTATGTTAAAATATTAAGACAAAGACAACAAAAGGTTCAGTGAAATAAAGTATTCACAGCTCTGAACAGGAAGATTGGTGATGTCAAGTAGAATGGGTTAAATTTGATTATTGTCAAACAACATGACAGCAAGTTGTCTGACCCGATGTACATAACAGTCCTTCCTTCGGGTTTCGCTGAATATTCACAGATATTGTTTTTTCACATAGAGGTAGTTGTAGCACATTATTTTTCAAGTTCTTGTTCTTTATTCGTTCTAACTCATTTGCCGCATCTGACATTTGGTCAGAAAACAATTTTATGCTGCCCAAGGATGAAACTGGATTTACACTCCCAGAACTTATGCACATTTTCCATGTTGATTTCTCCTGCACCTTAACACTGGAAAATGAAATGGTATTTTGGGGATCAATTATGTATTTAGTGCTACTGTGAATCTGAGAACCTAAACAGATGCTCATCAACTTGAGGCTTTCAACCAGATCACCCGCACTTCTTGATGACAATTGCACCGAATTACCAGATCCTGCACATCTGCGAGTGGAACCTGAATTGTTATTCGTGCTTCCACTAGAGCTACTGGAAGGACTTCCACCCTCTTTATGATTATCACCAGGACTTGTTTTGTCAAGCCCTCCATTTCCATTGCTTGGTTTTCCTTGTCCACTTCCATCTCCCTGATTGCCAGGAGGACCTTCACTACTATCTCTTCTATGCCAGGAGTAAGTAAACCCACTGTCTTTATCTAAACGTCGCCTGCTTTCTGAGTCATCATCACTTGTTTCTGAGCTACTGCAACTAGATCCACGACCCTGACTTTTCCTTCTGTGGTAACGTTTATGCACAGTGCTGGGTGAAGCAATATTCATTTTTAGCCGACTAAGTTTTGGAGGCAAATTCTCATCCATATCAAATTCATCATCAGATTCCCCTTCCTCAAAAATCTGATTAAGGACTGGGGCACTTTTCCGGGAAGTAAGACGATTTGTAACAGAAGGCTTACGGCGCAGAACAACTTGATTTGACAGGGAAACAGTTTTTTTATCTTCTTCATCCTCCTCTTCATCTTCTTCCACTCTAAACAAGCACTTTCGATTACTAGTTGTAGGTTTTAAATTCACCGAGGGAACAACTGTAAGTGTTGGTCCAGCTAATTCAGGAATATCCTCTTTCTTGGCTGAATCACTGAGTGCCTTACTTCTGTGTCCATTAAGAACATTTTCAGCACTACGAGCTGGAGACTGAGGAACAGCTCCGTGGGACAAAGGAGAAGCTGTAAGGTCATCATCTAAATCTTGAGGAACATCTATTTTTGTTGGCCATGATTGCCTACATTATACATAAAAAGGAGGAAACAGGAAAATGCAAATTTGGTTAAAACTAAAACATAAAAAAACAACAACTTCAAAGCAAAATCTCTATTCCATGTTGATTGTTTCTCATTTTTTAATATAGTATATTACTGAGGCCAGTAATATAAAAAAAAGTGAGAAATAATCAACATGCATTTTAAAATTAGTCACATTTTTACTCATTAGCTTGGGTTCAAACAATTTACAATCAATTCTGTCTGGCTGCACTTTAAACTTCAATTTCTTAAATCATTTCAGGCCATCACCAACTCTTTTCTGAAAACAAAGAGACAATTCCACTGTCCCAAGCCAAACGTTGGATCCAACTTTTTCTCTTAATGGTATTCATTGTTTAGTCTTTTTTTTTTTTTAGTAATTAAAGTGATACTAATTTACTGACATGTAACCCAACTCACTAGTGCTTTGAAAATTCCAAAGTAGTAATAACTGAAGAGGCAAGTCCAACAAATACTGTGGTACCTCCAGCACAGTCTTTTATAAAACTAGCCAGCATCGATTCCCATCCTTTTGTATTCCTGTGGCTCTCAAAAGAACTGCAGGAGGCTTCCTATGTGTAAGTGGGACAGGTGACTGACATCCCAGCCTGAAGGCAGGCAAATAGAAGAGAAAAAATTAGACTCAGAGGGCCAGCTGTTCATTTTCCCCAAGGAAAAGTAGGAGAACTACATTAAAACAAATAGGTGAATGAAAAATAATTGTATTGGTTGTCACGGAAATAACAGGTACTCCACAGTACCATTTGAACATTTTTCCTCAATGAGGAATCAGATCAATTTGGAACTAGGTTGAGAATGAGACCCCAGATATCAGTTAACTTTTATGATTAGTAGATTTCTAGTCCAAATTTTAGATGTGGAAATGAAATTTGTTTTATTAACATTTTTACCTCCTCTACCCTTGTCATGTTTGATATCTATTACAATTTTGACAGATTTACTGCTTCAGGGCTACTTAAATACCTAAAAGTAGATAGTTTAGGCCTGTTTCCATCGATTGCCTTACTGCTAATTTTAAATTTGGGTTTTTAGGGAATATGTGTCCATTCAACCCAATCTTATGCCTGTATTTCAGAAGTTCAGTCCTGTTCAGGTCAACATTCTTAAAATACTCATAACTCTAAGTTTTAATCCCATCCTTAGGCTGGGCACTTGCTCATTCCTAATTTCCCTATGAAAATCACCTTCTCCAAAAGCACTTTGAACCTTTTTTAAAAAAAACATATCTTAAAAACAAAGAAACATCCATTTTGAGAACAGTGACATTGTAGGAAAATACAGTATAGGGAAGATTATCCTTCTCTCCCTTAATTCCAACTTCAGTCATCCCAGTTGCTACTTTGAAAATATAAAATGTAGCTAGCACCAAGTATTGGATTTAAACATATAACTGGAGTAGTATACAGCTTGTCAAAAAAAAAAGTTTACTAAAATAAATCCTCTCGCTTCATATAGTCTGTTTGACGGAGCTTTTTAAATACAGTGGCATTTTCCTGAACTTGTTTGGGCTCTTTTTATATCACAATATACAATTTATTTTAGCCTCTATTATAGTGGTTTTAAATAGTCTTCCTAAAGAGACTCTCCTAATTATATCTTCCAGTTGTTTATTCCATTTCTACATTTAAATTAGTCTGATATTTTTAGAGAGTTTATTTATTTTGCTAACTATATATTTTCACACAAGCATTCTTCAGAAAAGGCTGCAATAAGATTTACTCTTACTATCTTTAACTGCTTTGTCTTTCTACATCTCAAAATTAACACCATAGTTCTGTTTAAAAAATATCAGAAGACACTCTCTTATTATGCATCCATCTTAGATTTAAGGCCTGCATCATTAAAATATGGGCACCAGGTATTTGTTAACCTTGAAATTCATAAAATGTCTCTCATCCTGCAATTCATTCAGTTAAGGACATTGAAGGGGAGCCCTTTATCTAAAAATCTACACATCTGATCTATATTCACTATGAGAAAGAATGTACTATTACTGAATGAGGACACTGCTAAAGATTTACTATTTTCCATAGCTAACGCCCTTCCAAATATGCACATTTTTCAGAAGCTATATGTTTGTTATACTTGTTATACAAATAACTGCATCTGTTTTACAGTTATTAAAATGTACATTTAAAATAAAAAGGCTGTGAGCCCTCTTGTATCTAAGAATTTAGATACAAACTATTTGTACAATTTGTAGAGTCTTAATTCTTACCTAAATTGCGCTTTTATATTGCTTGGGCTTGCTGATCTGGTTTGTATTTCTTTCTCTTGTTTCTCTCTTAAAATCCGCTCTGCTAGTAAAAAGTAGGTAGCAGTGATGTGATTGTATTTGTTAGTTTCCAAAGCCCTGAAGAAATGAAACATATATTAATGGTTTCCTCAAACTGGACATATCCCCAACACAACATATAATGTTCCTTAACAGAACAGTAGAAGAGTATTTCAGTGCAGAAATTTGCACTTTTGACATCTTGACAAATGGCCACTGGCGTACTAAAAACTGGGGAATTAATACAGCAAGTTCAGTAATTACACAACAATATATGAAAGAAAAAACTAACAGCTGAGAAAAAATTTCTTGATCACAATAACTTACTGAATGTGAGTCAATGTTGTCTGCGACTGCCAGTTACAGAATAACTGTACTTTACTACGGTTTCACCATGCAGCTATAGAGGAATTTCTGATACATGTGGCCATAGTGCTATCACAAATCTATTTGTAGCTAGAATTACTGAGAACTGGTCTGCTTCCAATGACTCCCTAGGATGATCTATAATTGCTAAGAGAAGCAACCTCAGGGAGACAGTCCTCCTACTTTGGAGAAGTGGCACCTCATTCACCATGGGTGGCCCTTTCTCCTACTCTCCCCCAGAGTTTGGGCAGTTTATCACTACTCAGCAATGCCAGGAAAGCAAATGGGAGAAAGAAATCAATTAATAAACACACTACATATTATCTTTAAATATCCAAATAGTGAAGAATGCTTCTGTGCCCTCTGCCATTAAATAAAATCAAAAGCCAATTTAAAACAAATTAATAATATTTTTCCTCATAACTAACTTGAAGTGAACTTCCTCACTTCAGAGCATTCTCTCTAATTCCTCATACAAATATATAAGCCACTTGAGCAGCAAATCACTGACTGTTAAGTTGATACCAATAAAAGGTTTTTATTCCTAGTCATCAAATATAACAATTCAAGCTATCTACTGCTCCAAGTGCTCAAAGGGTTTTAGTACTAATTCACAACACTTCTTATTACATAAACTGAGACCCAAATCAAGCTACTTGATGTTTTGTTTCCTTTGTTCAATCACTTCATCTGACAGATTTTTTAATCAAAATAAATGTGCATTTATTAACTTAATGGATTTTACATAGAAAGTGAGCCAATTGAGTCCAATACTTTCATTATTTGAGATCTAAACACTCTTAAAAGTTAAAAAGCTTGTAAATAATTATAACCAGATATACAATGTAAATATAGGAATTATTTACATATAGGAAAGAATTACGAAGCTAAATGGTAGAAGTTCCTACCTTCAGAACCAATCAATACACATACAATAAATTAATGTTAATTATATTTATACTCCTCCTCTTTCCACACAAATACACATAGGAGTAGGAGTAGGAATAAACAAGGTGAGCCACCTATCAGGGTATTTTACATGTCTTGTAATCATTTCAGCTACAGGATCTTTCCTCTGCTTTTGCCAACTATCTACTTACAATTAGAAGGGAAAGTTGGTAAAGTCACTGTCACATATATCCCAGAAACAGCTTAAAAAATACACAGAACTGAACAGAATAGATTATACAACTGGTTACTTTAGTTATGCTTTTCAGTACATTAATTTCCAACCAGTTGTCAATAATTTTTCTTAAGTTTTAGACATCCCACTATGGAATTTTTTTTAAGGATTAAAAAAGTGGAAAGTAGAAAAGTGGCAGTAGAAAAGTGCCAAATAAATACTTGACATGAAGGAATTTCTCTGAAAACCAGACATT